TTTTTTTTTTTTTTTTTTTTTTTTTTTTTTTTTTTTTTTTTTTTTTTTTTTTTTTTTTTTTGCTGAGTTACCCCAGAGCCAGCAAAGATGAATGACGCCTCCATAGCTGCTCCCTCTCCTCCTAAACAAAATGCAATAAAAAGAAGAAAAATATAAAAATAAAAATAAAAAAATAAAAACTAAATGATAAGGCGTTGCTTCTCCTGACTTTCAGGTGTATACACAGCTGCGTTTACCTCGATTTCTTTTTTTTTTTTCTCTGCATCTTCCTGTGCTGCCTTTATTGCTGCAGCATTTGCTGCTGCAGTTTCTCTCGTTTCTTGTGCTTCTTGAAGCAGCATTTGCATCTATAAATAAAAAGAAATATAACATATGTTTTAAACTAGATAGAATGAATACAGCAGCAGCAGCAGTTGCTATCGTGCTGACTTGTATTATTTGTTCTTCTTTCTGCTGCAGTGAGCGCAGCAGCCGTTCCTTTGCTGCAGCAAATGCTGCTGTTTGCTGCTGCAGCTCAACGAGCTGAGTTTGTGTTTCTTTTTGCTTCCTCTCTGCATTCTCTCTAGCATGTTTGAGGTCTAAGGAAAGAGAAAGGTATTAGTATATAGATCAAGAGATATCTTGGTGTTGCAGTAGCAGCACGAAACAAAAAAAAAAAAAAAAAAAAAAAAAAAAAAAAAAAACGAACTCTCTCACCCTGCATTGTTTTTTTCAGAGTTTTACATTCATTCAATAGACGTGAATGGCCGTCAGCTATTTCCGCAATAACCTCAGCAGATATTTTTTCTCTTTTTCTTCTCAATTTCAACTCTTCGTTTTCTTGTTTCAATGAACAAAAGGATATTTCTGTTGTGCTTATCTTCTCCTGGGCTGCGGTGAGGGCTTGCTTAAGAGAGGCGCATACAGCCTGATGAGGAACGGGGTTTCGTTGGTTGTGTAGCAGTTTTGTTTTTGTTTTTTTGAATTAAAAGTTTTAATTTAATTAAAAATAAATGAAAAGAAAGAAATTTCTTTATCTCACCTTTAACTCGTTGATTTCTCGCTGCTGTTGTTCGTTGAGTCGGTGCCATTTCTCTGCCTCTGCGGCATGAATTTGTTCTTTTGCATTTGCATTTGTTTGTTGTTCAAGTTCTTTTTCAGTTAATTTTCTTTTAATTACATTTAACTCAGATAGAAGACGCAATTCTTCTTTTTTTCGTTGCAGATCAGCCGCCCGCAGTTCCTCGATTTCGCCCGCCAGGTTCTGAAACTGACGGCGGCAGCGAAAAAGAAACGACAGATCAGCGTTTTTAATTGTTTCCTCCATCATAAAAGAACAATTAAATAAAAAGGAAGAAAATAAAAAACAAATACTCGATAAAAATTACAAAAGATAGGTTGTGATGGTGATGGCGCAACCAGATATTGAATCGTCTTCATGAGCTGCCGATACACCTGAAACTCGAAATATAAAACCCTGCGATCCTCTATCTTCCTGTTGTTTTTTCACTTTTATTTTTTTATAAATCTTTTTGTTTTTGTTTAATGTTTTATATTCTTTCTTTTTACGCGAATTTCCGTCAACTTTCCCCCCAGCCCCGAACCCCAGTCTGGGTGTTTGTTCGTTGTGAGACAGGTGTTCAAGTACCGTCGAACATGCGGCCCGATCGTGTTATTTTTTTCTCTTTTTCTTCATGAAATTGTGAAGCATTTTATATTTTAATGTATTTTCTTTCATTTTCCCTGAATACAAACGAAAAAAACAGGCAAAGAACTGATATATCCTCCCCTCCATTCTGCACTGTCTATCCTGCCTGCAGCGCAAGGCACCGCGGCCCGTCACCTCTTGCGTCTTCTGTCTCTGCAGGAGGAGCCCACGAAGAAGCAAACAAATTAAAAGTAAATAAATAATTAAAAAACAAATCATTAACTTATTCCTTTTCTACTCATCAGCAGCTGCAGCAGCTGCTGCTGCTGCTCTTCTTCCCCCTACCCTGTCTGCCATTCCTCTCCTGCATCAAAACCCCTTTTCTAGGATCCCTCGACACACCGAGAGCAGCAGCAGCAGCAGCAGCAGCAGCAGCAGCAGCAGCAGCAGCTTCTGTCTCGTCTTTTTTAATTTTATTGTTATTTCCATTCCTTAGAGCCCCCACAGACCCCCTCCCTCCCCCCTAAACCCCCAAACGCCATCGTAAGTTTCTGGTGTATGTTATAGAGGGGCCCCTTGTTTGTTTGTTTTTTCTTTTTCTTCTTTTTCTTTTTCTTTTTATTTTTTCTTTTCTTTACCTCTTTTA